TTGTGGGGAGGTGTGAATTATTGCACCATAATTCTGGCCCTGCAGGGGCTGCCTGCCATTAATAACTGTTTGCATGTTAGAAATGCGTTTTCTCACACCATAAAAAGCAGAAATGGAAAGTAATCGCTAGTGGGAGAAGCGCTGGGAGGACTGGGCACTGACTTCCCTGGTTTTGTGTTGGTTTGAGCTGCTTTTCAGTGATTTGGGGGATCCTGTTTGGCATGAAAACTGTGCGGACCCAAAACTCTTCGGGTTATTTGTGTTGAAGTAGCTCTGCCTGGAGATCTCCTCACAGATATTCCCAGTTGGGAAGCAACTCCCGTTTATTTGCAGCAGATTTTCACCAGATTAACTTCAACCACTTCAGTTCCCCATGCCAAGCTACCAGCTCCTGAGCCCTCTTTATTTGGAAAGCAGGAAAGACTTTGTTGCTTTTTTTATGGGTTCAATTCCAACCCATTCCAGTTTAATTTTGGGAAACCTGAAAACTGAAGGAAAGCAGATATCCTCAAAATAAAATATTGTTTGAGGCCCTTGATCCAGCAGCTGGAAATGCAGACTTTGCTGGGAGCTGGGTTTGCCTCTTGGTACTGAAATTGGGCCATAAAAATGCAATTCCAGGGATGCTTTTCTCCACTTTTTATTAAAAAGAACTGGGAGGGTGGTGCCTGGGGTTATCAGCACAACCTGCTTTCATGTGTGTACATCTATAATTCACTGTATTTCCATCCCTCAGTAGAGTGCAGGCCCTTAACCAGGCTGATGGCAAAAAGGGAATCTTTAAGAGCGAGTTCAGGGATTGGGAATGCAGGTATCAAGACAGAAAATTGATTGGTTGCTTGAACCTTCACTTAAGAGAGACTTAATGGGATGAGGAGATTAATAAAGGGGGTCTCTGGGGCTGCTGGCATTGCTTTAGGAACCCCAGAGGTGAAGGTAACAGGAAATGGATGGGGCAGGGACTTCCAGGATTTTTGTGGGCATTCTTACAGAGATTTCGGTTCATGATTTGATTTTTAGTCAAGATGCAGCTTTTGTGCACCGATGTTTTTCCTTCTGGGGTGCATCGGGATGGGCATTGCCAGCAAGTCAGGGCTGATGCTGCCCCTGTGCCCAGCCCTGGGGGCACCTCTGGCTGCTGTGCCCAGCTCTGGCTCCTCAGCACAGCAGGGCCAGGAGCTCCTGGAGCTGAGCAAGGGCCTGGAGCAGCTCCGTGCCCAGGAAAGGCTGAGGGAGCTGGGGCTGCTCAGCCTGGAGAGGAGCCCCAGGGAGAGAGAGGGGCCTCAGCCCTGCCTGGGCCTGCCTGGGCCTGTGGCTGTCCCCGTGTCTGTCCCTGGCTGTCCCTGTGTCTGTCCCTGTGTCTGTCCCTGTGTGTGTCCCTGTGGCTGTCCCTGTGTCTGTCCCTGGCTGTCCCTGGAGCAGGGGGATCACTCTGCCCCTGCACTGCTGAGGGCACACCTGGAGTCTGTGCCCAGCTCTGGCCCCTCACTTTGGGAAGGACCTTGGGACACTGAGCACATCCAGAGGGGACAACGAGGCTGGAGAGGGGCTGGGAACACAAACCCTGTGAGGAAGCCCTGAGGGAGCTGGGGGTGCTCGGCCTGGAGAAAAGGAGACTCAGGGCTGCCCCCATCACTCTCACAGCTCCTGAAAGGGGCCTGTGCTCACCTGGGGCTGGGCTCTGTCTGCAGCAGCACTGACACACCCAGAGCACACAGCCTCGAGCTGCACCAAGGGAAATACAGGCTGGAGAGCAGGGAAAAGGTTTTTCCAGCAAGGGTGAGAAAGTTCTGGAATGGCTGCCCGGGGAGGGGGTGGAGTCCCCATCCCTGGGTGTGTTTAACAGAGCCTGGATGTGGCACTGGGGGCCAGGGTTCAGTTGGGGCTGGGCTGGACTCGATGGTCTTAAAGGTCTCTCCCAACCTGGTCATTCTGGCATTCTGTGAATTCTGTCTGTCCCTGTGTCTGTCCTGTGTCTGTCCCTGTGTCTGTCCCTGTGTGCCGAGCTCAGAGCAGGCCCAGGCTCTGCTCCAGGCCCAGCAATGGCCCCAGAGCCACGGGCAGGGCCTGAGCCCAGCAATTCCCCTCACAGGAACTTCTGCCCTGGGCAGGGCCCGAGCTGGAGCAGAGCCCAGAGAGGGGCTGGAGTCTCCTCCTGACATATTCCAGAATATAATCCCACAATCCCTGGGCTCTGGGGTGACCCAGAGGTGGCCCCGGTGACCCCCAGGGTCCCTCCAACCTCACCCACCCTGGGGTGCTCATTTCAGTGGCACTGAAAGAAAGAAACCAGGTTTCAATCCACTCTTCTCGCAGTGTTCTGTAAATGTGTGACGAGATCCGGCTTCCTCCATCTTGTCCTGCACCTCCTTCCTGGTGTCCATGGGGGACTCTGGGGTTCTGGGATTGTGGAATTCTGGGATTCTGGATTTCGGGGATTCTGGGGTACAGAGAGTCTGAGATTCCAGGATTCTGGGGGTGTGCAATTCTGGGATTCTGAGATTCCAGGATTCCGGAATACTGGGATTCTGAGAGTCCAGAATTCTGGGATTCCAGGATTCTGGGATTCTGAGATTCTCGGCTTCCAAGATTCCGGGGTTCTGGAATTCTGGGGTTCTGAGACTCCAGGATTCCGGGATTCTGAGATTCTGGGATTCCAGGATTCTGGAATTCTGAGATTCCAGGATTCTGGGATTCTGAAATTCTGGCATTCCAGGATTCTGGAATTCTGGGATTCCACTATTCCAGGATTCTAGAATTCCAGAATTCAGGGATTCTGAGACTCCAGGATTCAGGGATTCTGGAATCCCAGGATTCTGGGATTCTGAGATTCCCTGGATTCTGGAATTCTGAGATTCCAGGATTCTGAGATTCCAGGATTCTGGAACTCTGGTGTTCTGGGATTCCAGGATTCTGGTGTTCTGGGATTCTGGTGTTCTGGGATTCTAGGATTCCGGGATTTTGGGATTGCAGCCTTCTGGGATTCTGAGGTTCCAGGATTCTGGTGTTCTGGGATTCCAGGATTCTGGAACTCTGGAACTTTGGAATTCTGGGATTCTGGGGTGCAGCTGAGCAGAGCCCTCGAAAAGGAGCTGACAGAAGGACCCGTGGCAGAGCACGGCCAGGGCTCCTGGGCTGTGCAAAGCACTTTCCATGTCCTGCCTGGGATTCCCTATTGGAATTCTGCTCCTGGGATTGCAGCACTTGGAATCAGAGATCCTGAAATCCATGGAGTGCCTGCTGAAATTGAGGAGCTGTGGCTGCATGAGCCCCATTTCAGAGCCCAAAGCTGCAGTGTCACCCCAGGCCTGGCTCACTCTGGGGATGCTTTGGGGTGTTGGTGTTAATGCCACCCCCGGAGCTTGGATTCCCTCCTGTCCCTCCCTGTGCTCCTGAATCAACGCTGACCATAAATTAACAACCAGGTGATGCTGCAATCCAGAACACAACAGCTTTTGTGCTCTTCTTGTTCCTCCTAAAGCCCATTTGATGCAGTTGGATGTTGCTTTTTTACCAACATGAGACAACTGATTTTATTTTGAAGGATGGCTGCCTGAAAAAAAAAATTAAATATTAATAATATCTGAATTTGAGCTTGTTACTCAGCAGAAAAATCCAACTTCAATCTGCAGCTTCAGCAGTGGCTTTTGAGAAGCTGGGGGTTTTGGATAAATCCTGCCTTGTAAACAGATGGAACAAACAAAATGTAAAACTCATCTCCTTAAAGGACAACAAAAGAATATTTTCCAGATGGGCTTTCTGATGGGAGATCAAAGTCTTCGTCTCAGACTTGGGAAATTTCCCTTCCTTGCTGGTATCAGTTTTATCTGCATGCAGATCATCCAGCATTTGGTTTTCTTTCAACAAAGGCAATTGTCTTAAAGGAGCTGCAGGAGGATGCTCTTAAAGCTGAAGAAAATAGAAAAGATTTTACTAAAAATAGGAGGGGAAATTTGGGTGGGTAAAGGGGAGAGGAAACTGCTTGATTCCTTTGATTTATGCAAAAATGAGATCTTTCAAGATCTCAGCTTCACCTGCAAAATGAAACAAGCAGGGAAGAGTTGAGGCAACTGATTTGGACCAACTCCTTTTTGGGCTCCTCTGATTCCAAACCTCATCCCAAGGGTTCCTGTGGGCAGAACAGAATCCCTTGGTGGCTTTGTGGAGTCTGTGTCCCCCAGGAGCTGCAGTGACAAGGGGGGGATGGCTCCCAGTGCCAGAGGGCAGGGCTGGGTGGGATCCTGGCAATGAGGAATTGTTCCCTGGCAGGGTGGGCAGGGCTGGCATGGAATTCCATTCCTGCATCCCTGGCAGTGCCCAAGGCCAGGCTGGACACTGGGGACAGTGGGAGGTGTCCCTGCCATGGCAGGGGTGGCACTGGGTGGGATTTGAGCTGTCCTTGATGCCCTGCATGACAATTTTTGGCTAAAAGAGCTGTGGACACACAGCCCCAAAGACTGAGGAGGAGTTTTCCCCTTGGAAATTTTAATCTGCTTTTCCTTTTCTTCTTCTCTGGTGTTGGGGCGTGGGTTGGACTCGATGACCTTAAAGGTCTGTTCCAACCCAGTGATTCTGTGTGTAATTTTGTGCACAATTTTTCCTGCCTGTTATTAATGGGAAACAGCGAAAAAGCTTCGCAAGGAAAAAAAAATTGACATGAAATGAAATGAAATAATAAAATAAAATAAGATAAAATAATAAAAATAATAAAATTTAAAATAATTAAATATTTAATAAATTTTAATAAATGTAATGTTTAGTTAAATATTTTAAATATTATAATATTAATATATTAATATTAAATATTAAAAGAAGAAATATATAATATGATAAATATAATTTTAATATATAATATTAAAATAATAAAAATATAAAATAATCATGAAATGAAATTAAATGAAATGAAATAAGATAAAATAAGATAAAATAAAATCATATAAGGAAATAAAATAAAATAAAATAAAATAAAATAAAATAAAATAAAATCGTGTTATAGGGAGCACTCATGGGTGTGTTTGTGCTTGCAGACTCCCGGCAGGTGCAGCCCTCGCCGCCCTGGTCCTATGACCAGTCCTACCAGTACCTGGGCTCCATGGCCACGCCCGCCGTGCACCCGGCCACGCCCATCTCACCTGGCCGGGCCGGCGGCATCACCTCGCTCACGGCCGAACTCTCCAGCCGCCTCTCGGGTAAGGAGCAGCCCCGGGACACAGGGACACAGGGACACAGGGACACAGGGACACTCCCCGGGGGAAGAATGCTGGCCCTGTGCCCACACTGCTGCCCCCAAGCCAAGGGAGTGCTTCCCTGGTGACAATCTGCTGTCCCAACCCCTGGACTCTCCATGCCAAGGGGACCTTCCCTGGTGGCAAACTGGTGGCCCTGTCCCCAACCCTTGGGCTCTCCATGAGAAAGGGACACTTCCCTGGTGACAAACCGCTGACCCTGTCCCCACCCCTGTGCCTTCCATGACAAAGGGACATTTTCCAGTGGCAAACTTGTGGCTTTGTCCCCACCCCTGGGCTCTCCATGCTAAGGGGACCTTCCCTGGTGACAAACTGGTGGCCCTGTCCCCATCCCTGCTGCCCCCAAGCCAAGGGACGCTTCCCTGGTGACAAACTGGTGGCCCAGGTGCTGCCCCAGCCCTTCAGGGGCTCTCTGGCAAAGCTCGTTCCGAGGGTCTGGGGGATTTGTGGGAAGAGCAGAGAAACAGAGAATTTTAATAAATAGAGAATTTCCACAAATGAGCTGTGTTGTGATAAACCAGTCCCAGACTGGGCTGGGAAAGATCTCAAAGGTCATCAAGTCCCAGCTGTGCCCCGTCCCCACCTTGTCCCCAGCCCAGAGCACTGAGTGCCACCCCCATCCCCTCCCTGGGCAGCTCTTCCCAAGGCCTGAGCACCTTGCCAGAAGGAAATTCCATCTGGTGTCCAACCTGAATCCCAAAATGGGATTTGGGGTTTGGGGTGCGAGGAATCTTAAAGCCCATCCCGTTCCCTGCCAGGGACAGGGACACTTCCCACCATGCCAGGGTTGCTCCTGGGCTTGGGAGCCCAACAGAGCACTGTCAAAAAAGAAGGGAAAGGAGGAAAAGCAACACTTTGAAGGTGTAGGGAGTGATTAAAATTATTCACATTGCCAAGGAATGGATGGCATTCCAAGGTACTCCAAGATATTGCAGCTCTGTTTCCTTCCCTCCCCCTAAATCCAGAGCAGAGCACGGCAGGTTTCGGGTGGACATTGGCTGCAGGATGGTGGCGTTGGACATTTTAGATGTTGCACTGGATTTTCTTGTTTCCCATGTGCTGCAGACCTCTTTTCATTAAAATCTTTTCTGAGAAGTTTCAGCAACAAATGTAAACAATGGTTATCTGCTGCTGTGGAATGCAACAGGTGCACCTGTGATTGGCCCATGTTGGATGTTTATAATTAATGGCCAACCGAAGACTGAGCTATCTCGGACAGAGTCTGGGAGAGCTGCTTTGTTATCATTCTTCTATTCTATTCTCAGCTTAGCTACCTTCTGAGAACTTTTCTTTCCATTCCTTTTTAGTATAGTTGTAATGTAATATATCTATCATAAAACAATAAATCAAGACTTCTGATCGTGGAGTCAACATTCTCATCTCTCTCTCATCCTGAAAACCCCTGTGAACACAGTCACACCCATGCCCATCAAATTGTCCTGCAGAGCTTTAGAAGCCACCAGAAAAACGGGAGTGGATTCCACCCCAATCCCACCCTGACCTGCACATCTTGAAGCAATCTGTGCGTGCAGCAGCAGGAATTTTCTAGAAATGAGTGAGAGCCATATCATTCTAATTTGCATGCAGCTTTTGCAAAAATCCCTCCTTTAACTCCACATCTTGCTCTCGTTTGAAGGCTCAGGGTTTCTCCTGAGATCAGAGGGAACCACTTGAACGTGCTCCAGCCTGCTCTGCTGCTGTCATGTAGAGCTTGCTTTGAAAGCCTCACACCAAATCTAAATTATTTGCTAGGTCTGGGTGATAAGTGCATTGTAGAGAGGACTGAAAACACAGAGAACTTTTCAGAAAAAGCCATTTCTTTTTTTAAAAAAGCCTGTAAAATTTCTCATTCTTTATTTATACAGAATTAGAAATCAAAAATTAAAAAAAAATTTAGAATTCCCCTTAGTTTTCCACCAGGTCCTTCTCCACAGAGCTGCTTTTTCTGCCCATGGCCACAGGGATTTTCCTTGGAGCTGGCAGAGTTTCTCCATGCCTTGTGAAGAAACCTGGAGGGGTTTTGTTCCCACATCAGCCTCCTTCTTTTCCTGTTCTAATTCCTTACATTAAATGTCATTCAGCATTCCTGGGAGAATCCGTCACAACCTTTTCTGTCACCCACACTTGAAAAAAATCTTCTCTTTGGCAGAACAAAGAGCAAATCTGAGGAGGATTTTAGGCCCTCCCAACTGAAGACCTGGTGTCTCCAAGGAAAAACAACAATGTGGGAGATATTTGAACCATCTTGACATAAAATGTCATTACTCTGCCTTTTGCCAGGGCAACAGGAACCCTCCTCTGATGAACAATGTATCCAGGCAGTTTTAGGAAGTTTCTCAGGAATGAAGTGTGGAAGCAGCATTTAAAATCTGGCAGATGCCACCTTAACCTTGCCTCCTGCAGAGCTCCTGCTGCTCCATTCCATCCTGTGTTTGCCCACGTTAGACCTAAAGGTGATGGGGTTTAGGGGAACGAAATGGGTTGCCATTAATTTTCCAGAGAAAAACAAAGGATGGTAAATTCTGAAGGAGGCAAAGAGCAAGTTCAGAGCTCTTCTGAGAAATTCAGGCTCCTCAAGGCGGGCTGATGTGTCCCGATGAGCTTTCAGAGCTTGGCTCTGGAGTGTGTCTGCTCCAAGAATCCCAGACTCTGTCTGCTCCAGCTTGGAATGTGGGGAGAGCCAAGAGCTTTGTTTTCCCTCTGCTCCTCCTCAGGAGTATTTCCTTCAGCACACGGCTCCTTGGCTGCAGACTCCACGCCTTGGCTGCCAGGAGAAGTTGTCTTTCTTCTGGAAATAATTTTTTTCCAGAAGATTATTGTTAATTATTGTTGTTATCTTAACTAGGCAGAGCTGCCAGCTCTGGAGATGAGACCTTCCATTCACCTGAGTCACGATGAGGATCCTTCCTAAAGAGGATCTGCTGCTCTTGTTTAATCTGGGCAGGGAAAGAGAGGATGGGACAGGACATAATTCCATGGATGTCAGAGACAGCAGAGCAGGATTTGACTCTCCTGTGGAACATTTCAGAGTGAGAGGAAAGGAGCTGTGCCAGAGGAAGCTCAGCTTGGACCCCAGGAGCAATTTGCCCATGGAAAGGGAGCTCAGGCCTTGGCAGGGGCTGCCCAGGGAGCTTTGCAGTGCCCATCCCTGCAGGTGTCCCCTGGAGGTGGCACTGAGTGCTCTGCGCTGGGGACAGGGTGCCCATGGGGCACAGCTGGCACTGCATGGGCTGGCAGGGCTTTGCCAGACCCAGGGATTCTGTAAGGAGCTGGGAAGGGGCTGCAGAATCCCTGAGGAGCTGGAAGGGGCTGCAGAATCCCTGAGGGAGCTGGGAAGGGGCTGCAGAATCCCTGAGGGAGCTGGAAGGGGCTGCAGAATCCCTGAGGAGCTGGAAGGGGCTGCAGAATCCCTGAGGAGCTGGAAGGGGCTGAGGCTGGAGCAAAGGAGGCTCAGGGGCCCTTGTGGCTCTGCACAAGGCCCTGCCAGGAGGGCACAGCCGGGGGGGTCGGGCTCTGCTGCCAGGGAACAGGGACAGGAGCAGAGGGAACACACAATCACAGAATAATGAGGTTGGAAGAGACCTCTAAGATCATCAAGTCCAAGCTATGCCCAAACACCTCAAGTAGACTATAGCACCAAGTTCCATGTTCAGTCTTTTAAACACATCCAGAGATGGTGATTCTACCACCTCCCTGGGAAGAGCATTCCAATACTTCATTATTCTTTCAGTGAAATTTTTTTCCTAATATCCAACCTATACCTTCCTTGACGTAGCTTCAGACAGCCTCAGGCCAGACCAGGGCAGGCTCAGCTTGGACAGCAGCAGGAATTTGCCCATGGAAAGGGTGCTCAGGCCTTGGCAGTGCCCATCCCTAGCAGTGCCCAAGGCCTGGATGTGGCACTCGCTTCAACAAGCTGGGCACAGGGCACAGCTGGGCCTGGATGATCTCTGAGGTTCCTCCTTTCCTCATTCATTGTGGTGATCCCATAACATTCCTCTCCCTCCGTTCCCTTGCCCAGGAGCGTCCGAGCTGACGGCGTTCAGCGACCCCCGGGTGGGCATCGAGCGCTCCTTCCCGGCGCTGCCGTCCATCTCCGACCCGCGCATGCACTACCCGGGCGCCTTCACCTACACGCCCACGCCCGTCAGCTCCGCCATCGGCATCGGCATGTCGGCCATGTCCACGGCCTCCAGGTACCACACGTACCTCCCGCCGCCCTACCCCGGCTCCTCTCAGGCCCAGGGCGGCCCCTTCCAGACCAGCTCCCCCTCGTACCACCTGTACTACGGCACCTCGGCCGGCTCCTACCAGTTCTCCATGATCTCGGGCGGGGAGCGCTCGCCGCCGCGCATCCACCCGCCCTGCACCAACGCCTCCACGGGCTCCGCGCTGCTCAACCCCAGCCTGCCCAACCAGAGCGATGTGGTGGAGGCCGAAGGCAGCCACAGCAACTCGCCCACCAACATGGCCAGCACGGCCAGGCTGGAGGAGGCCGTGTGGAGGCCCTACTGAGGATCAGGAGGTCAGGAAGGAGCTCGAGAATCAGGACTTCACGCACTTCCCATTGCCCGGCGCCCGGAGGGATCCCAGAAACTTCCCCGCGGGCCCTGCCGCGTTCATCCACGAGTTTCAGGAGCGAACCCTCGGGAAGTCAGCGCTCCCAGGGGCGGTGGCTCTCGTTGCCAGGCCCTGGCAAAGGATTCCCGGCAGGAAAACGTGCTCCTGGGAAGGAGGAGGCCCCAGTTGGTGGTGCAGAGGTAGCAAGGGTGGATAGAAGGGTATCCAGCCTGATTCCAGGCCTGTGGCTTCCCAACGTGCCTGGGCTTGAAGGTCTCCACAGCCCTAAAAGAGAATTTCGGTTCACTTCTATTTTTAAGACTTAAAACCTTAAAAAAAAAAAAAAAAAAACCAAAAAACAAAGATAAATCTTAGTGAGTTTACTGCATCTTAGGGGCATCTTAAGTGTAAGGAAGTATAGGAAGATTCCCAGAGGGAAACTGTGAACGCTTCTGTTTTCGCAATGCTGTGAATGAGAGGTTTTATATGTTGGACTTCATTCTTTCTTTTCTTTGTTTTGTTTGTATATTCCAAAGAATATGGAGGTTTTTTATTACTGGTTTTTTTGTTTTGTTTTATTTTGTTTTGGGTTTAGGTTTTTTGGTGTTTTTTGGTTTTGTTTTGTTTTCTTTTTTAGGATGCAGCTTATCCTGCTTTGCATCTAATTTGTTTTATTTCTCTTGGCACCTTATAAATTGCAAAAAAAAAAAAGATTTTGCTCTTTTTTTGGTTTAATCATGCTTGCTTCTTTCTTGCTTTGTCAACTGAAAGAATCAGCCCCTTTTTCAATGAGGTAATTTAACTTTTTATCTCTTGGACTTTTTTTTTTTTTAACACAATGGCTACAGCCTTGGGTCATTTTCAACTACTGTATTTCTTTGATGAGTTGATTGATATTTATGCCTGATATTTAGACTTTTCTTATTTGTTGATACTATTATTATTTAAATATGCCTATATTAAAAAAAAATATCAGCAATTGCCTTTTTTTGGTAGCAGCCAAAGTCAAATTTCTCACATTGAAAAACGCTGGAATAACGATGGGCAAAAGTGACCTCTGAATTCCCTAAAAATATTGTTTACAATTATCTTGCTCTCATTTTACTCAGCTTAGGTCCTCGAAGGCATTGAGGTGCCCAGTTCCTGCTGGAAGGCACCAAAATCCCTGGGAATTTCTGTCCCTTTCCAAGTGGTGGAGTCATCTCTCCCTCCTCCTCCTTTGTCACCAGTGGTGACCCTCAGGATCAGGAATCAGGACATAGATACTTCCTAAGGCAAATTCAATATTCCCGAATTAAATACCTGCCCACTGCAGGGACAGCACACAGGGAATGGCTCCCAGTGCCAGAGGGCAGGGCTGGATGGGAACTGGGAATTAGGAATTGTTCCCTGGCAGGGTGGGAGGCCCTGGAATAGAATTCCCAGAGCAGCTGTGGCCGCCCCTGGATCCTGGCAGTGTCCAAGGCCAGGCTGGAGCAGCCTGGGACAGTGGAAAGGGTCCCTGTCCATGGCAATTTTGGTGGATGAGCTTTAGGATCCCTCCCAACCCAAAGCATTCCCTGGTTCTGGGATTCCCAGGGCAAGGGGGAAGTCCTGGCTCTGATGGAATCTGGGCGAGATTTGCTGCCAGGATTTCTGTGCGGCACAAAAGCCACGTTCCACTCTGCTGGCAAACACGTCCCTTCCTGGAAAGCTCCAGAAAAGCCAGGGCCAGGACAACCCTTCCATTTGCATCTTCTGGGAGAAGAGCAGGGGTATTTAAAGCTGGTGTAGCCAATGTTGTGCCCTGTAGTAAATCTACAAGGGTTTTACTAGGAGCAGGTTCAGGAGCCGTCACGGCCGCCCATCGCCCCAGCACAAACATATCAGATGTCACTGTAACGTTTTTGGCACTATTTTATTGAGGGTTTGCTCTGAATGCAGCTCTTGTACTACTCCTGAACTCCAAACTGCTGATGTTGACACGTGTGAGTCCCAAATGAGCTGATTATTATTTAATGTACCTCTCAAACCAGAGAAACAATTGCAGGTCAACTCAAGAGAGTATTTGAAAGCAGGACTTCAGATCAGTGTTTGATGTTTAAAAAAAAAAAAAAAGTTAAAAGGATTCAAATTAAAAAGATCCTTGGCTGCAGGCAGCAAAACAGCTGGACTTATTTAAAACCATTTGTTTTTCAAGTTTTCTCTTTTTTTATATATATATATGATTTTGCTTCTTTGTTTGAGTTGGATGCAGTAGCACTTTGGTACTGAAAAGAATCGAAGAATTTTCACTGTCCATGAGGTTGTTTTTGTGCAGAAAATAGGGAGTGTTTCAAGAGATCTCAGCAAAAGCCCAGAATGTTTCTGTTAAAACACATGGTCTTGTGCTTTTAATGAAATATCCTTTCTATTTCCAGAGTTTGCTCTGAAAAAAAGACAGAAAACATCCAAATTTTATCAGAAATAAATATTGAAAGTTTGGAAACCCTGCTGAATACAGAAATACAGAGACCCCCACAGCTGTAGCATTTCTGTAGTTGGACTCTCACCTCTTCAGTACCCTAAAAAAAAGTCCCCCAGCACTGAGCAGTAGCTCTGTTGCAGAATCCATTCGGCACATTCTGTGCAATTCAAACCCTAATTTCTTACAGCTCTCAATTAAAATGGTAATTGATTACAGCTCTCACATCTGCCTTGTGACTGGACCAGCAAAGTTCACAGAGCTGGGAGTGAAACACAGCAGGGAGGGAGAGGAGAGGAGCTTGGAGGAGCCAGGAAGGGCCAGGTGACCTGGAGAGGGAATTTTAAAAAAAGCAGGGAGTGACGGGAGGAGGGGGACGGTACTAAGATGAAGGAGGGCAGGGTTAGATGGGATATGTGGAATAAATTAATTCCTGTGGAATTTTTGAGGCCCTGTCACAGAGTGCCCAGAGAGGTTGTGGCTTCCCCATCCCTGGCAGTGCCCAAGGCCAGGTTGGACACTGGGGCTGGAGCAGCCTGGCACAGTGGGAGGTGTCCCCGCCATGGCAGGGGTGGCACTGGGTGGCTTTTAACCCAAACCGTTCCATGATTTGATGATTCCATGAGTTCAGCCCCGTGGTAGAAGTGAGGTTAGTGTGGCCACCAAGGTGAGCTCAATGTGGTCACCAAGGTGAGCCCAATGTGGCCACCAAGGTGAGCTCAATGTGGCCACCAAGGTGAACTCAATGTGGCCACCAAGGTGAGCTCAATGTGGTCACCAAGGTGAGCTCAATGTGGTCACCAAGGTGAGCTCAATGTGGCCACCAAGGTGAGCCCAATGTGGTCACCAAGGTGAGCTCAATGTGGCCACCAAGGTGAGCCCAATGTGGCCACCAAGGTGAACTCAATGTGGCCACCAAGGTGAGCTCAATGTGGTCACCAAGGTGAGCCCAATGTGGCCACCAAGGTGAGCCCAATGTGGCCACCAAGGTGAACTCAATGTGGTCACCAAGGTGAACTCAATGGGGCCACCAAGGTGAGCTCAATGTGGTCACCAAGGTGAGCCCAATGTGGCCACCAAGGTGAGCTCAATGTGGCCACCAAGGTGAACTCAATGTGGCCACCAAGGTGAGCTCAATGTGGTCACCAAGGTGAGCTCAATGTGGCCACCAAGGTGAGCCCAATGTGGTCACCAAGGTGAGCTCAATGTGGCCACCAAGGTGAGCCCAATGTGGCCACCAAGGTGAACTCAATGTGGCCACCAAGGTGAGCTCAATGTGGTCACCAAGGTGAGCCCAATGTGGCCACCAAGGTGAGCCCAATGTGGCCACCAAGGTGAACTCAATGTGGTCACCAAGGTGAACTCAATGGGGCCACCAAGGTGAGCTCAATGTGGTCACCAAGGTGAGCCCAATGTGGCCACCAAGGTGAGCTCAATGTGGCCACCAAGGTGAACTCAATGTGGCCACCAAGGTGAGCTCAATGTGGTCACCAAGGTGAACTCAATGTGGCCACCAAGGTGAACTCAATGTGGCCACCAAGGTGAACTCAATGGGGCCACCAAGGTGAGGTTGTTGTGGCCACCAAGGTGAGGTTGTTGTCACCACATTGCCAGGCCTGTGGGACACCACAACCTCCTTTCTGCCCCAGCCCTTTCAGCCCCCAGGATTGAAACCCACCCACCCTGGAAGCTAAAAAAACAGGGATTCACAGGAACAGGGAGATGGCAACTCTGAGACCCTAAATCAAACATTTCTTATGTCTGTGCCTCTCCTTTGTCTCCACTCATGCTAAAGGTGAGAATTTGGCTCTGCCTGGTGTGAACAGGATGAGGAAATGCAGAACTGGCCACCACCACTTTTCCCTGTGTCCTTACTGACACTTTTCTGGAATTTCCCAGTGTTTGCCATGTTTTTATTGTCAGCAACCAAATTTTGGAGTCCAACCTCTCTGGGTATGTCCAGCACTGCAAAGGAAAGGAAAAGCCAAGTTCGTTATCCCTGGCAATTAATCTGTTTAATTAATCACTGTGGGTTTCAATGTATTCATTTACCAGAAACCACACTTTACTCAAATATTTGGTTTTGTAGCCATCACTAAGGATGGCAAAGTTTTTCAAGGCTATGAAAATGCTCTCATGTCTTTCCTCTTATATTTTAAGAGCACATAACAGGCAGAAAAAAAAATATTTGGATAAAACATTTCCCCCATGCCCATCTCCAAATTAGAGTGCAAAAATATCTATTTTTATATGGCTATAATATATATATATTTATAAAATTTTATCATCCTGGGTGCTGTATGGAATCAGAAAAATCGAATTCTTGTGCTTCTGCTCTGGAGCTGCAGTAAGCAGAGTGCTTTCGGTACCTCACCCTCCCAAAATTCAGCTCCTGGCTGTCCTTCCTCTCAGCTTGGGTGCTCCTTTCACAAGACACAGCTCAAACATCTTCAACATAAATTTTGCTGGCTCTGACGACAAATATTTCCCTCTCCAACAACATTTAAAGTCA